ATGTTTGGTCAACATTGCATCAGAATTTTGTCCAATGCTGATGATATCTTTCCTGGCACAACATATGAAAAGTATAGATGGAAATATTCCACCTTAAACGAGTGCTGAAGTGCCATCCACAATACATGTAATGTTTTAGGCTTCGTATAGGTACACTAGCTAGAAGTTCAAGGGTTAGGTGTAACAAGTCGATCGGTGTAATATAGCCAGCTGCCGCTGCGCCGCGTGCCTGCGAAGCTGGTGTGTTACGCCGAAAGGCGGTTATACCGGCTATGCAGATACAGATACAGATACAGATACACTAGCTAAGTTCTGCCAACATGCTTGTTTGTACAAATTTGAAAGTACATTTGTATCTAATTTGCAGCAAAGAAGGAAACAACAAGATAGAGGACTGCTATAAATTTTACCAAAATGCACAAGACAGTTACCCAAGTTTTTGTTTTTTTTTAGGTAAGGCCACACCAATTTAATTTGTTGGTTCTCGGATTTTTCCAGAAAAATATGAACCGACAGGGAAAAAAACAAACAGGGTTAGGCATCCTATTATACTATATTTATAGTCCCAAATGCAAAAATCGGAGCCATGAAGTCAACACAAAAGGCTGGGTTAATATTTTTACAATGAATTTTGAACTTTAAATCAAACCACTGCATTGACAGATGGAGAAACTGTAACATAACTAACAACTAGGAAGAAAATAACTTTCCTCAACTGTTGGGGGCAAAATATGAGCATTTTTGAGTTGATTCAGAACTTTTATTTCTGCAAGTCAGAATAAAATGAAGAGGCAAATCCGAGAACCAACAAATTAAATTGATGTGGCCAAAAGAACAAGAGCAATAGGTTGATTGGAGTGGTTTTAGTAGATCTGAAATTTTCCTTTGACTGAAAATTTCAGAATGACCCATCTGTATTGCAATGGCACACTGTCTGGCAAGGGTACAATACATTGATTGTATTTGTTACTCCCCTTGGACAGCCCTTCAGATTTGTACTTGGTTTGTCTGGTGACCTTGAAGATATCAAGGGAAATAACAGCAGATATGGTGACAAGGTCAACCAACATATGTCACACAATACTGTATTTCCTGATTTTTTTCATGGTACTTTAATGTACAAGTTTTTCTTGCCACTTCTGTACTGTGAACTTATCATTACCATTTTTTTATCATTTGTTTTGCTCCCCTCCCCCTCTTGCCACCATCTTGAAGGTGACAAGGTCAACCAACATATGTCACACAATACTGTATTTCCTTATTTTTTCATGGTACTTAAATGTACAAGGTTTTTATTGGCACTTCTGTACTGTAAACTTGACATAATCATTTTTTAATAATTTCTTTTGCCCCCCTCCCCCTCTTGCCACCATCTTGAAGGTGACAAGGTCAACCAACATATGTCAGACTCAAACAATACTGTATTTCCTTATTTTTTTCATGGTACTTCAATGTGCAAGGTTTTTCTTGCCACTTCTGTACTGTGAACTTATCATTACCATTAATATTTTTCAAATCATTTCTTTCGCCCCCCTCCCCCTTCTGCTGCCACCTTGAAGGTTAAGTTCTGTGAACATGTCTTTACTCAATTTTCCTCAGACTGAAGTTTTGCTACTGTAAAGACAAAGTGAATTATAACTTAAGGACTATCCCCAATAATGTTTTTATTTCATAGTGTACTGCTTTACTGGTTTTACTAACTTTTAGGTTAACATTCTTTGTTATTCGTTAAACTTTACTTTGGTTGCCATTTGTTGTACTTACACCAATTGTGCTTAGGTTATATATTTGGCCAAGTCTACACACCGTTTACTATTTGATTACGCTATTTGTTTTTCTGGCATATGTAAATAAACTGATATCAGGGTCTATATTGGTGCTAAGTACTTAGCAACTTAGTCAGGTCAGTACTAAGACTGTTACTAGTGTTAGGTCAATACCATTATACCTGTATTCTTGCCGAATTTGAATGGAGTTTTAAAATTCGGCAAGAATACACTCAGGTACTTGTATGATGAACCATTCCCCAAGACTATCTTCAATGGTACATAAACAGTAAGTTTATGAAAATCAAATGGATCAAGTAGTTTATATATGGAGTAAGTTATCTGATTAAGGGAAGTAAACAGGACACAAGTTGTTTATTCACTTCAGATAATTTAATCTTTGTGTCAATGTGATGTGCACTCTGTCAGATTTAAAACACATACATGTCCTCAAAATAGGTCCAGTTATGTGGAAGCATTGCACAACACAGGTGTATGTGAATTTTTAATCCCTATTACCACCTATGATTGAAGTATACAAGAAATTATTGCAATGGTTTCTGAACAGTTTTTAGTATGATTCATACCTTCTTAAATTCTGATGCAGATAAAATTTAGCTGGATGATAAAATTGAGGATAATTATAATAAGTTTAATTTTATTGTTGGCTTTTGCATTTTACAGCAATGAGAGAAAGAACCTGCCTGAACCCTCTTAATGGGTCAAAATGGGTCCATGATTTTCCGTGTTAGCTGCATGCTGGTATGCAGTATTTCAAAGTCAAACTCACAATATACTGATTAGCATATGTTACAACGTTGCACGATTTTGTTGAATACTTTATCATTGACAACGCCAATCTATCACATTGATGCAACTGCCACCCCCACAAATCTGTTAATGTGTTTTTTTATTCTAACACCGCTGTTGTTTCCATGTTGATACCCCTCTCTGGAGCCCAGGCATAAAAGTTGTCTGTGTCGTGCTGTGACAAGTTAATCCAGGCAGCCTACACGATGATAGCTGCCCCCCCCCCCCAACCATTATGGCTCCGTGCCAGTCGGGTACTGCCGGGTACGCCCGCATTATGGCGGCTGAAAAACGATCTGTGAAACCTGTCAGCCGCCGCGGATCGTTGCCGGCATGCGAAGCTTCCGTTACTCTGGCAGCGCTGTTTTATTGCCGTATTCTTCAAGGCGCCCAGAATGAAAGGCCAGGTCTATCTCCGGGAAACAGACGTATACAACAGCACCAGTCGCTGGATATGGTTCTCCAGGGGTGCCCCTTCCTGTTCCATGAACACGGGGTGAAGGCCTGCCAGCCTGTGAAAGATAGGCCCGGCCAACTTTTCTGATAGCTGCTGGCCCGATACTCCGACATTGAATTGTGTGCTTTATTACCTGTCAGTCTGTGGGTGAGTAACAAGTTTACAAGTTTATTAAAAGTCCAAAGGAGCTCGCGGGCAAAACATTGCCCGAATTACGTCCTCGTTACATAATTCATGAAACAATGAACACATTACAAAATTTTACATTACAAATAACGTTACACGTAGAATATCTTTAAAAAAACAGCATCTCAATTACAACCTGAATCGATCCATAAAAGCAAAGCGAGCACACATAGCATAACGTATATACAAAGTAATTACTGTGTATCGAGTGTTGGTCTGTTGTTATACAACCGGATAGCACAGTGCAAGAAGGAATTGCGCAGTCTCTTTGTACGAGCTGGAGGCAGACTGATCCTCTCAGCGTTTCTCAGGGACAGTCCAGTTGCTGCAGACCTAGTCGGCGGAACCAAGTCGTGTAGGGGGTGGTCATCTCGCAGCATTCGCTCAAACAGGTGCACTGCTGCCTCCTCCCTCCTCGTCTTCAGTGTGGGCAGATCAGGTACGCTCCGACGTCCTCCCAGGGAAATGATGCGGAGGGCACGGCGTTGGACCCTCTCAATGGCCATTTCTTGCTCCTTGCCGCACCCTACCAACAGTACATGACAATATTCGAGGACAGGTCTTACTAGTGCCAGGTAGATTTGCACTAGATCCGTGACACTAGTGCCTTGCTTTGTGAGCAGACGCAGGTAGTGCAGTCTCCGCGATGCCTTGCTTGTCATGGCGGTGACTTGCTCGCTGAATGAAAGGTTTCTATCCAGGATGAAACCAAGTCCCTTCGCTGATCCGACCGATGGCACAGGTTGGCCGCCCAGGGTGATCGATGGAGGAATGGGAACAGTTTTACTGAAGCAAATCTGTAGGAGCTGGCTCTTGGAACCATTCAGGATCATCCTGTTTTCCTCCGCCCAGCAGTCAAGGTGAGAAGTCTCCTCCGCCACGGTTGTATCTAGGTCGGCTGTGGGTACAGCAAGAGTTCTTGAGAGACCAACGTCGTCTGCATACCCAACGTTTGTGGTGTCATGATGTACAGTGGTGCGCGAACTCATAAAGAGTAGAAACAGGTAGGGAGAGAGGACACCGCCCTGTGGCACACCTGACGTTAGGGTACGCCAGGCGCTGGTCTCGTCATCCAAGACCACTCTCTGGCGGCGGTTCTGAAGGTAGCTGAAGATCCACCTTTGCATACGTGGGCTGACGCACACTCAACGTCTTGGTTGAGTGACAGGGATGAGCACACTGCTGTAATTTCAGCAACACGCTTGTATTTAACCTTTACAATTGATTTTTTTGGACTGCTTTCTATTACTTCATGGCTGGGTTGATGTTTGGATAATCTGCTGCTCTAATTTTTAAGAGAGAATATACCCGTAAATTAGCTAGTGCATCAAAAGATCCCCCTTGCAGCTTTCTGTTTAACTGCAACTTGTAAATTCCAAGGCAAAGATACCATATCCAAGGGTAAGCATATTTTACTGTCCAAGATGTTTCTAGACCTAAAACATCTCCCATTGCCATCCCCAATATTTTTCGTGGACCAGAGTCCTGGCCTCCTTCAATATTTATGACCAAATATAAAAGCAGACCACTGGAAAGCTAACCCATGATTCAGCACCAAGGACAGACCCCATAATACTGTATTCCCTGCTGTAGTGATTGTACTACCGTGTGGCCCAAGGGCTATTGAACATGAGATGGGCACCGCCTGATACACCACATGGTCTGGGAAGGACTTAAACTTTTTTTACTAATAATACATGAAGTACAGCCATGAAATAAACAAAAAACACGTAGAACCTTAGATTTCTTTCTTGAGGTAATTCCTTAACTCAGAATCCCAGATTCGGCCGTCCTGGTGTGGATTGTCACGTCATGCACGACAACGACGCAGCCGTTCTACAGCTCATCTTCCTGGTGAATGAGGTAGGTGTGCTTATTATTTCACTCCATACCATAGGTATGAATGAAATATTGTTTTTACTCAATAGTCATGTTTCCTTTTCTCCTTCTCATGCCATTTTTTTCTTAAAAATCAATTCAATTTCCTCATTTTGGGGCCAAATGACCTGAAACTTTATATGGAGGTAGAATTGTTTCTTTTTCATCTTTTTGATACAGGCTTTTAGAATTTTTTAGTATGCCAGTCTTTTTGGCTATTTTCATCAGAAAATGTACTATGGCAGTGTGTGCTACCATATTTGGTGTGCGTGACCATATTTGGGCATGGATGATGAGACCATGAGGGAGATGGACTGTAATATGTTGTATTTGCTATCGAGCAATTGTCGGCCTTCCGGTCTTGAAAGTTCATCTGTGTTGGTAGAAGTCATTATGAAGCAGGTTTGAACGCAAGCCATATTTCCGAGTGTACGACTCCATTCTTTGTTAAGGAATGAGCTATAGCTATAAGTCCACAGCTTCTGTGACGTCATGTTATGTGGATGACACACGTGACTCAGGTATCAAGCAGTGGATCATAGGCTGCAGAAAGTCTGTGGCGCCCCCCCTCTTTGTTGAGGGATGGTTGTAATGCCCTGACGTACATGTAAATTACCTTGTGCATCTGCATAAAGTGTCATCACAGAAGCGGTGGATTGCTCTTTCCTTGAAAAAAGACGAGTTGTACAGTCAAAAATTTGGGCAAGTCCAATTTCTTGTGTTGGAAATTTAAACCTGCTTCAATGAGTTATGTGCATGGCAACACTAGTACTACCTTACAAAGACATGATTGCTTTCCAAGGCTCAGCAACTTTTAACAGCGACTGGGAAGTAATAGTAGTTAAGTTGTCCCCAGAGAAGAAAAAGAATGCCGTGTAAATTTCAGCGTATACTTCTAATTGCACCAAAGGGAAAGCAATATAAAGTTAAGACAATATCAGAGATGTCGTAATTGTTCCCCCATGCCCCAGCTAGCAGTTTATGTATGTGACTTTCCTCACACAAGAGTAAATTTGTTTCACTTTGTATAACTTAACAACAACTATTTCTCGTTATGAGTTGAATTTATACCTAGTGCTGTTCCTACTAACCGCCTTCAGAAGTCTTGATTTTGATTGTGATTCATTTTGAAAGGTTTTCCTGCTTTCAAGATGTGTTTGAGTATGTGAGGAATCTACAAAATTCTTCTTCCAAACAGTCACGTACATAGGAGGAGACAAGAATTTATTGAAACAGGACATTATGATATAAAACTGGAAAATGTCATCCTATCAGACAAGACTGTTAAAATGTTGCCACAATATTATATCAGTATCCCTTAGATTGGCTCTGCAAATGCCATTCTGCCGTGTTTAAAAATCAGGAGTGACCGGAGCAGAAGTTTTGAAGGGCAAAGGAACAGCGGGTACGTTTTAACTCAAGGTTCGGGGAAAGTAGACCTGACAAGGCTGCGTCATTCTCTTTCCAAGACCTACAGATGTAAGAAAAGGTTTTTGTGGAAGTTAGCCGGTGTGTCGGGGGTGATTTGCGTGTGACTGACGGTGTGTCGTTGTTGATAAAACAGGGCGCCCTGGTGAGCGTGTGCTCGGACGACAGCCTTCATCTGTGGAACCTCCGCCAGAAGAGGCCCGCGATTCTCCACTCCCTCAAGTACAACAGAGAAAGGTAAGGTACAGATGGGGACAGGCAGGCTTCTAGCCAGCTGAAGATATTTTTCTGTCAGCCCAGGTTCACGATCAGATCTGGGGGTAAGAGTGCCAAAGGCACAACGCAACCACCAAAGAAGTTTAGGATTTCCAAACCTCCAAAAATGCAATTTCCTACTTTTTGAGGGAGTTGCAGAACCCACCCAACTAGTTCCACCACTCAGAACTTTTGAGCATTCCACTAGTTTCTCCACTTAAGCTCACACAACTTCACCCTCCAAATTCCTTGTGCGAAATCTTTTTACAGTGACAGTTTCTTTCCCCGTACGGCCAAGCTTTGGAATTCCCTCCCTGACAAGTGTTTTCCACCAACCTACAATCTACAGACTTACAAATCAAATGTTCACTGCCATCTCTTGACATAGCCATGTTTCTCTCATATTTCTAGTTCAATGCCGAGAAGTGGTCGTATAGACCTTGCATTGAACCACTCCGTTAAAAAAAAAAGAAATCACGAGGTTGAGAGTGGTTGTCGGTCGTCCGTCAGATGTTCTTACATTTTTACCCAAGATTTTTGTTGATTTTGTCTGCCAAGTTTGACGGATTTGTTTAAAGATTTTCCATCAGGCGCCACAAAGGTGCAGTAATTGACAGAAAAACGGGTGCTGGCTAGAGCCCTGGGGGTAGGTTTACCCCCAGGTGGTGACAGTGCAAGATGTCTCGTCTGTGCAAGGGCAGTTCTTCAAAGTCTGATTTGGATTTAAATTGTGCAGTAACTGTTGCTCGATGATGATGTAGATTGGGGTATAATTTATGAAGATTTACCATACAAATGTGGAAGGAATTGACATGTAACAGGTGACTGTCACCTCTTCAAGATGTCAACCCTTAGACCAGACTGTGAGGTTTGAACCACTCACACCAGGAAGGTTCCCTACTCTTTTCGACAAGTGAGGTGAGATCTTTTACGTGCTCAAGGTGTGGCTCACCTTAAACACAGGACCTCCGGCTTTACGTACTATCCGAGGGATGTCCCTAACTGAAGCTAGGTTCTCAATTACACATGAGGAAATAGATGTTAAGTGCCTTTTGCAAGGACACAACAGTGGGGCCTACCAGTGATTCGAACTCAGAACCTTCTGAATCTAATTATTATTATTATAAGTTAACAACCCTAACTACAAGACCACCTTGCCACCTTCAAGGCTGCTAAAAACTAAAAAGTTGCAAAATGAGCAAATACATGAAAAAAAAAAACATCGGAAAATGATTCCAATGTCGTAGAATGCCAAAATCAAACAAAAAAGACGAAAATGTTAAGAAATAAATTTGAAGCCTAGATTATTTGCCAAACCATAACCTGTGTCATTTGTTCAACCTTCAAAACCATGTAGATTTCATAATGAAAGCAACTTTTTTTGCCAAACTTTTTTTTATTTGCACGCTCGCATCAGTTTTGGGGTTCCCAGAGGATGTCATACATATAATCAAATCAACATGGCCTGACATGCAGTGTCTAGTCTTACATGTATCTCTGAAAGTTTGATACATATTTTTCCTGTGTGACTAAATCATCCAGTTCTAAAAGCGTTGTTATCTCCATATCCACTTCCTTTACCGACAGCGTGGTGATATTTCTGGCGTACACAGTAACGGGGTGCTTTAGCCTTGTTATCGCTTCAAAGTAGAATTATAACAAAATCAATACCAGTTTTTCGATACAAGACGAATTTCTGCAGATGAATTCGTTGATTGGAATTCGCTATTGAGTACGGTAAAGGGGGCTCAAACGGGGCCTTTTATAGTCATAATTTATATTGACGATGTGAATTGAGGTCAGGAGGTTACAACCTTTTGGTATGAAGCACACTGGAGAATTGCTAACTATTGCAATTGTGTTTTGCATTTTTTTTCCTAATTTATAAAACCTGTTGTTAAGGCCAAACCAGTTTTAGTTAATTGATTCTAGGATTTGCCAGCTTCACTTTTTTCTGATTTGCAAAAAAAAAAAAGATTCAGGTTCTGAATCAACGTTAACTACAAAATGCTCATATTTTGGTCCAAAGAGTTGAAGAAAGCTCCTTGCCTTTCTAGTTGTTACAGTTTATCCACCTACAGTATCAATTCATTGGTTTGATGAAATTTTAAAGGTTGAAATCCATTGTTTGAATTACAAACCAGCTTGGTAAATTGTATGTTGACATCATGGCTCCTATCATAATTATAGCATTTGGGGCTATCATAGGATGTCTAGTTCTGTTTTTACTTTTATTTCTTTTCCCTGTTGCTTCATACTATTTCTGAAAAATCCAAGAAACAACAAATCCTACCTAGACTTCACAGTTGGCCCATAACACGTAGAGCCTGGTTCAAAGCAACAGTAGATTCTCACAAAGATATCCATAGTATTTTCAGAGAAATGTCCTGCAAGGTTAGGCCAAGGAGAAAAATTTTGTGTTTCCTGTTTCACGATTAACCCTAGAAAAAACTGCCCACCCTAGACTTTTTTAATGTGGATCCCTGCAAGGTAATAATTCGAGCTAATCAACCTTTTCCAGCTCCGTGATCTGACACCTGAGAGATGAAACATTGTACAATCAGTTTCCAACATTGACATTGAAGTGCACATTTGACTGCATTCTATAAGTTGGCCTGTTGGATCACTAGAGATTGCCACCAAAGTCTTAAAAAAAATTCCTACCTGCTGACCCGAATTTTTTAAGGACTGAAACAGGAAACACAACATTTTTTCCTAGGCCTTATTGACAGCATGCAAACTCATGACTTGAAATTTCTAGTAATCTGAGAAGTCACAGGTACACGTGTATCTCATCTAGGGGTACGTAAGATCGTGAAGATCTTTACGGTTTAGTGCAGATTTCCATTTGAACTTGACTGCATTCAAATAAAGATTGCCAGCCGTACCTTTATGTGGTGCTTCCAATCATGTGTATGCAACCCTCACCCTGTTGCATTACCATTATTTTACTTCACTGATTTATTCCTTCGTTGCATCAAGCAAGGTGAAGGTTGTCTATTTTTTAAATACCGTGGCTCAAAATGCTTTCTTGCCAAGTTGGTTACCTCAAAACAATAGATACTCAGGGAGAAGTGGCCTAGGAAGACCTTCACATTATATTGGATGGAGAAGGCAAAAACTCACAAGTCAACCAACTTCTTTAAAGAAGGGATGGATTGACAATGTAAGGGAGGATTTCTAACATCTTAACCGAGTAGACATAACATCAGCCCACTGTGATAATTGCTGATTTCGCTGTTGTGCCCTTGGGAAACGCACTTTACACAACTTTCCTCGCTTCAACCAGGTGAAAATGAGTACCTGGCCCTGATAAGGGACATCCCTCAGATGTGGTTGTTAAATGGAGGTCCCATGTTTGGGGAGAGCCACACCCCACACACGTTAAAGAACCCACCACTCCTTTTGAAAAAGAGTAGAGGCATGCCCTGGTGTGAATACTGAATACTACTATCTAGAAGTTGGTGATTCACTTCAAATCACCCAGAGGGAGGCATGGTGAACCCCCGTGAACCACACGGTAATTTACATAATCACCAGGACTCCAGGAAGAATAGTTTGAATTTAATTTCTTGGTTAACGGATTCGCCCGCTTCATTTTTTTCTGATTTGCAAAGAAAAAAAAAATTCAGAATCAACTGTAAAATGCTCAATTTTTGCCCTGAACAGTTGAAAACAGTACTTTTCTTCCTAGTTGTTACAGCTATTCCATCTTTCAATGCAGTGATATCATTAAAAGTTCAAAATTCATTGTTTAAATTTTGAACCAGCCTCAGTGACTTCATGGCTCCTATCGTACCATTTTGGGCCATGATAGGATGCCTAGGCCTGTTTTTTTTTTTCCCGCCCGCTCCATTATTTTTCTATAAAAATCCGTTAACCAAGAAATTAAGTTGGTGTGGCCTAAAGGAGATCCTTAACAAACAAACAAGCTAACAGTGTGTTCTTGTTCCCCCCCCCCC